AAATATTTTAAAGCAATACGGCCAAATGTTTAAGGTGATAACATCTCTTTGAAGTCCCCTAATCAAGATGGTTCTTGAAGACTGCTGTCCGTCCACGCTATAGGTGATGAACGTGACTGTGATACTTTTAAGATTGTAAGGAATTGATTCTATGATAAAGAAGCTCTTTTAAGTAAAGGAACATTTCAATATAATCTATATTGGAGTGCAAGTTTGATCGGAGCAGACTGTAATTTCTTAAACTATTCAGGATAATAATATGGTGTTGAGTTGTGTGTAAGTCTGTTTTTATGTTTTATTTTACCTTCTGATTCTCATAAAGATGTTTTATAGAGAAATTTAAAACATTTTTCATTTATATTTTATATTGAGGTCAAACTACTACCAATTTCTTTATTTTTACATTGTGAACCTTTTATAGTTGTTTTCGAATATTTTTTATATTGACAGGGAAATTTATTTTCATGCTTGTAAAGCACTTTGAGTTATGTATGAAAAGTGCTGTACAAATAAATGTTTATTATTATTTTTATTTTTATAGGTACCATGCAGGAGGTATTATAAATTTCATCAATGTTTACTATGTTTTTAATATCTGTCAAAACCTTTGTTTTATTTCTAGAAAGAGCTATTCAAATGATAGTGCCTTGAGCAAAACCACCAATGCACTAAATCACAGGCTTGACATGAAATTGTCAGGTCCACCTTGATGACAAATCCACCCAAAAAAGAAAACAGTAAAGATTTATTAAAAAAATGTATCTTCTCCTCTTGATTATTCTTGTGCTCTATTATATTCAATTCAATTCACATTTATTTGTATAAACCATTTCACAAGATGTAAACAACACTGGTCCAGAAGCACTTCATGTTTCAGTTTTTTAACACTACATAAAAGCTGGGATAAAATACAACCAACAGAACATTTAAAACTGAATCAAAAAGTTAAACCAACATCTTTATGATGTTTTATTTACATGTGAAATAAAGAAAACAGTTACAAACTGAAACAGGAAGTGCTTCTGGACCAGTGTTGTTTACATCTTGTGAAATGGTCTATAGAGCATTTCACAGTACATGTGAGCAGTGTAGTTTGGATATAGATGTAAAAAGATGTAAAAGATCTATTACCTTCTTGTTTTAATTGGAATTATTTTGGTTGTGTGTGTGTGTGTGTGTGTGTGTGTGTGTGTGTGTTTTGCGCAACCAAACATCATGATCTAAAGTCAAGCAGAATATAAAGGAAGTAACTCAACCTGCCTGAGTTGTTTAGTAAAAACGTTTTGACAGAATTTTGTGCCTTAAAACACCCGAACGGTTGGTTTGGGTGGATGAAGAAGAATCCTTGGGAGGAACCAAAACTCAGCAGGGAGAGCCCATTTCTGGAACATGTTGAAATAATTTAGTAAAAAAGTCAATAATGGTGGGACGAACCGAAAGCACAGGTGCAGCTGCAGGTGGAGGCGAATCTAACATATATAAGTGTGATGGATCACAGATAGAGAAGACTGAGGAACATTGAAAGACTCTCATGCATCTTTATCTCTAACAACAAAACATCTGGTAAGACTCATTTAAATGCGTTTTTTGCCCTTGTACGAATTGCTTACAGGCGTACTTTGTCTAATAACAAACAATACTTCTTGTTGAAAAAAGTATACTTTTTAATCTATTTGACCATATATTTATAGAGCTAAAATCTGTTATTTTTTCATTTCATTTACTAGAAAAAGCATCAAAAGAAGCTTGATATACAATCACATTAAGGTGAATTTTCAGTAACTATAAGTGAATATTGCAAAATACAAACCAACTTATAGATGTACTTCAGAAAAAAAGTATTAGAGGGCTAACAAAATGTTTAAATTTATCTCTGCTTTCACTCTCCTTGTTTAATCTCCAGATATTAGAGCATAGATGAAGAGCATAAACCCAGTGAAGATGTTGGCCGTGTTGGCGCTGGTTCTGCTGTTGTCCAGTGTGATTGAGGGACGGATTTTCAGCAAATGTGAGCTGAAAGCAAAGCTGGAGGCAGCTCGGCTTAATGAGATTAGGGTTTTCGGAGAAAATTTGGACACGAAAATTCTTGTAGCTAGACGTGAGTAATAGAGTTACTTTTCTTTCAAGTTCCCTTTTTTTCTTGCTCAGTCTTCAGATGCCATATTGACATGTCACATAAGGGCTTTTAAAACCTTCATTACCTTCTTCCATCTGTTTCTTTCTATCTGAGGCAGTTGTCTGCATGGCCAATGACTCAAACTTCAACACCAGCTTTATTAAAACGATAACTGAGGACATCCCACTTCAGCCATTTACCTCTACATTAAGACCCACCACAAGACCCACCACTGGTTCCACCACAAGACCCACCACTGGCTCCTCCACAAGACCCACCACAAGACCCACCACTGGCTCCTCCACAAGACCCACCACTGGCTCCTCCACAAGACCCACCACTGGCTCCTCCACAAGACCCACCACTGGCTCCACCACAAGACCCACCACAAGACCCACCACTGGCTCCTCCACAAGACCCACCACTGGCTCCTCCACAAGACCCACCACTGGCTCCTCCACAAGACCCACCACAAGACCCACCACTGGCTCCTCCACAAGACCCACCACAAGACCCACCACTGGCTCCCACAAGACCCACCACAAGACCCACCACTGGTTCCTCCACAAGACCCACCACAAGACCCACCACTGGCTCCTCCACAAGACCCACCACAAGACCCACCACTGGCTCAACCACAAGACCCACCACAAGACCCACCACTAGTTCCACCACAAGACCCACCACAAGACCACCACTGGCTCCTCCACAAGACCCACCACAAGACCACCACTGGCTCCTCCACAAGACCCACCACAAGACCCACCACTGGCTCCTCCACAAGACCCACACTGGCTCAACCACAAGACCCACCACAAGACCCACCACTAGTTCCACCACAAGACCCACCACAAGACCCACCACTGGCTCCTCCACAAGACCCACCACAAGACCCACCACTGGCTCCTCCACAAGACCCACCACAAGACCCACCACTGGCTCAACCACAAGACCCACCACAAGACCCACCACTGGCTCCTCCACAAGACCCACCACAAGACCCACCACTGGCTCCTCCACAAGACCCACCACTGGCTCAACCACAAGACCCACCACAAGACCCACCACTAGTTCCACCACAAGACCCACCACAAGACCCACCACTGGTTCCACCACAAGACCCACCACAAGACCCACCACTGGTTCCACCACAAGACCCACCACAAGACCCACCACTGGCTCCTCCACAAGACCCACCACAAGACCCACCACTGGCTCAACCACAAGACCCACCACAAGACCCACCACTGGCTCCACCACAAGACCCACCACTGGCTCCACCACAAGACCCACCACAAGACCCACCACTGGCTCCACCACAAGACCCACCACAAGACCCACCACTGGCTCCACCACAAGACCCACCACAAGACCCACCACTGGCTCCACCACAAGACCCACCACAAGACCCACCACTGGCTCCACCACAAGACCCACCACAAGACCCACCACAAGACCCACCACTGGCTCCACCACAAGACCCACCACAAGACCCACCACTGGCTCCACCACAAGACCCACCACAAGACCCACCATTGGCTCCACCACAAGACCCACCACAAGACCCACCACTGGCTCCACCACAAGACCCACCACTGGCCCCACCACAAGACCCACCACAAGACCCACCACTGGCTCCACCACAAGACCCACCACAAGACCCACCACTGGCTCCACCACTGGCTCCACCACAAGACCCACCACTGGCCCCACCACAAGACCCACCACTGGCTCCACCACTGGCTCCACCACAAGACCCACCACTGGCCCCACCACAAGACCCACCACTGGCCCCACCACAAGACCCACCACTGGCCCCACCTCAATCCCCACCACAGGCTCAACAACAAGTCCCACCACAAGCCCCACTACTGGCTCCACCACAAGACCCACCACTGGCTCCACCACAGGCTCAACAACAAGCCCCACTACTGGCTACACCACAAGACCCACCACTGTCTCAACAACAAGCCCTACCACTGTTTCAACAACAAGCCCCACCACTGTTTCAACTACAAGCCCCACTACAGGCTCCACCACTGGCTCCACCACAGAGTCCACCACTGACTCCACCACAGAGTCCACCACTGGCTCCACCACAGAGTCCACCACTGGCTCCACCCAAGAGTCCACCACTGCTCCACCACAGAGTCCACCACTGACTCCACCACTGACTCCACCACAGAGTCTACCACTGACTCCACCACAGAGTCCACCACAGAGTCTACCACTGACTCCACCACAGAGTCCACCACAGAGTCCACCACAGAGTCTACCACTGACTCCACCACAGAGTCCACCACAGAGTCCACCACCACAGAGTCCACCACAGAGTCCACCACAGAGTCCACAACCACCACAGAGTCCACCACTGATTCCACCACTGACTCCACCACTGACTCCACCACTGACTCCACCACAGAGTCTACCACTGACTCCACCACAGAGTCCACCACCACAGACTCCACCACTGACTCCACCACAGAGTCCACCACTGACTCCACCACAGAGTCCACCACTGACTCCACCACAGAGTCCACCACAGAGTCCACCACCACAGAGTCCACCACCACAGAGTCCACCACCACAGAGTCCACCACTGACTCCACCACAGAGTCCACCACTGACTCCACCACAGAGTCCACCCTGACTCCACCACTGACTCCACCACAGAGTCCACCACCACCACAGAGTCCACCACTGGCTCCACCACAGAGTCCACCACTGACTCCACCACAGAGTCCACCACTGACTCCACCACAGAGTCCACCACTGACTCCACCACAGAGTCCACCACTGACTCCACCACAGAGTCCACCACTGACTCCACCACTGACTCCACCACAGAGTCTACCACTGACTCCACCACAGAGTCCACCACAGAGTCCACCACCACAGAGTCCACCACTGACTCCACCACAGAGTCCAACACTGACTCCACCACAGAGTCCACCACTGACTCCACCACAGAGTCCACCACCACCACAGAGTCCACCACTGACTCCACCACAGAGTCCACCACTGACTCCACCACAGAGTCCACCACTGACTCCACCACAGAGTCCACCACCACCACAGAGTCCACCACTGACTCCACCACAGAGTCCACCACTGACTCCACCACAGAGTCCACCACTGACTCCACCACAGAGTCCACCACCACCACAGAGTCCACCACTGGCTCCACCACAGAGTCCACCACTGACTCCACCACAGAGTCCACCACTGACTCCACCACAGAGTCCACCACTGACTCCACCACAGAGTCCACCACTGACTCCACCACAGAGTCCACCACTGACTCCACCACAGAGTCCACCACTGACTCCACCACAGAGTCCACCACTGACTCCACCACTGACTCCACCACTGACTCCACCACAGAGTCCACCACTGACTCCACCACTGACTCCACCACAGAGTCCACAATGGTCGAGAAGAGACGCCGCCGTAACATTGCCGCTTTACCCAAACCCAATAGGGCTGTCTGGCGCCAGTATGGAGTATTTCAGCTCAGTGATAAGTGGGCCTGTGATTCCGGCCTGGTGCCATCACTCAATATTTGCAAAATGAAATGCACTGGTAAATTAGAGTGAAAAAAGCCATATCAAATGTTTTTTTTTTTAATTAATTACTTAATACAGATATGATTAAAAATGAACTTTTAACTTTTTTTCTACCAAAGCTTTTTTGGATGATGACATCAGAGATGACATTGCCTGCCTGAAAACCCTGCTGAACAGAACTACTTACTTGTAAGTGTGCACAAGCTCAAACAAATACATTAACAAAACACAAAAATATGCTTACATTCTTATTTTAGCCACAGAGTGTGTTTTAAAATTTTTCTGTATATTATCAAATGTGTTTACACCTTAATAAATTGTTAGAAAATTAAAGAAATTTAAAGTACATCTTCTCTAAATATAACATTCATGAGTCTGTGCCTTCTTTTGTGACAGGCCACCAAACCCCCAAGTCAGCCTGTCTGATATGAGCAAGATGTAAGTATTTTTGTAAGACTTTATGATTGTAGTAATTATGCTGCGTTTCCATGTAAACCTTAGTAGATCGAACCAATGCCACTAATGGTGTCTCCTTTCAACTTAGGTCACAGTGCTTTTGAGAAATACGTGCGAATTATAATAATACACAAAATACATATAAAAATATGTATATAGTAATACATTTTTGTATAAAATAATATTTCAGGGTTGTTTCGCTTATTGAGTAGCTTTGTGTATATTTTAATATTCCAATTTTCAACATGTTGAACTAATGTTTTGAGCTAACAGAACTAGTATACTGTAATTACTGGTGTTTTTGTTTCATAGGACAAAAGCAGAGTAATTCATTATTATGTTATACATAATAGGCTTAAGAAATCAAATCATGCCTGAATGTGATTGTATTCTCTGTGTTACAGCTGGGATATGTTGTTGGTGAATGGGTGCCGCTCTGTTGTTCCATTATCGTATTTCCTCCAGTGTTTTTAGAGAAATATCTGCTAACTTTGATTGAATGGTAATCAGGTCAAATAAAGGTTGACAACTGTGTGAGTTTAAATATCTAAAGACTCTAAAACAATGTTGTATTCAATTGTCTATTAAAGCTCTTTATTGCTGGTAAATTTTTTATCTAAGCATTTAATGAAAATATCTCTGTTCCTTCCATTTCATTTATGGTCACTTGATTAAACTGCATTAAAAAATGTACTAAATTGTAATACTCAAAATGACCTTTCTTTCTGCACTTGTGCTGTTGATTCATCCCCATGCTGATGACACTTTATATGCTCCTCTTTTCGGCTTTTGAAAGTTCTGTACAGAAACACACACACAGTAACATGTCCATTTTAAATAGAAAAATGCTGCCGTAGGGCCATTTTTATAAATCCCTTTTTAAAAGTATTTCCCTTAGGTCGATCTTTTGGATGGGAACTGAGTATTAATGAACTGATTAATGTCCTTTGCAAGTTGTATAAACTTAGCCATTATGTTGGGCTGTGTCTTAAGATCTATTATGACCCATTAGCAGTTAGTCAAGGGACGTTAGTCTTATTTTTTGGCATCAAATTAGGCCAATGTACTTTTTTAAGTAACTAACGTTCTAAACTAAACTCATGAATGGTCTTAAAGAAAAAAAAACGAAAAAACTTGTAGACTAGGGGTCTCTAAAGCTTTGTTTCGTAATAACAGTTTTTTGAGATGTTGATTTATGCAAGCAATAAAAAAGTCATATTAAATTATAATTATGAAACATTATCATAT